AAAAAAAAAAGAGAAGAATGAGGGCTGACTTGCTCTACTACATATTTAAATGGTTTAATAATTAAAACAATTCAGCACTAGTCCCTTATCATCAAAATTGACAAATAAGTACCCAAAAAAAGACCCTAGAAAAACAACTTTATTATTTTTTATCTTTTATTTTTGGGGCAGAGTCTCGCACTGTTGCCCAGACTGGAGTGTGTTGGTGTGATCTCAGCTCATTGCAAACTCTGCTTCCCAGGTTCAAGCAATTCTTGTGCCTCAGCCTCCTGAATAGCAGGACTACAGGTACTCACCATCACACCTGGCTGATTTTTGTATTTTTAATAGAGATAGGGTTTTGCCATGTTGGCCAAGCTGGTCTCGAACTCCTGGCCTCAAGAGATCCTCCTGCCTTGGCCTCCCAAATTACTGAGATTACAGGCATGAGCCACCTCGCCCAGCCAAAAACTGACTTTATACAGATGCTCCTCAACTTACAATGGAGTTATGTCCCAACAAATTGATCATACATTGAAAATATCATAATTGGCTGGGCACGGTGGCTCACACCTGTAATCCCAGCACCTTGGGAGGCCGAGGTGCGCAAATCACCTAAGATCAGGAGTTCGAGACCAGCCTGGCCAACATAGTGAAACCCCGCCTCTACAAAAAATACAAAATCAGCCAGGCATGGTGGCGCATGCCTGTAACCCAGCTACTCAGGAGGCTGAATCAGGAGAATGGCTTGAGCCTAGGAGGCAGAGGTTGCAGTGAGCCGAGATCATGCTATTGCACTCCAGCTCAGGCGACAGTGCGAGACTCTATCTCAAAAGAAAAAAAAAGAAAATGTCATAATTGAAAGAGCATTGAATACACATAACCTACCGAACACCAGAGCTTGGCTTTGCCTATCATAAACGTGTTCAGAACATTTACATTCACGTGGCTAGGAGCTGCAGCTCACTACTCACTACTACTGCCCAGCATCAGGGAAGAGTATTATATGGCATATTGCTAGCCCGGGAAACAGCAAAACTCAAAAGCTGAAGTATGGTTTCTCCTGAAAGCATATTGCTTTCACACCATCATACAGTCAAACAATTCTATGTCCAACTGGCATTAAGTTGGGATCATCTATATATGAGATTAACAATCATATACAGATTATTATGCCCTTGGGCATAAAGCAAATGGAAGGATTATACAATAAATGAGGTTAGTATAAATCAGTTAACTACTGGGAAAAGGACAATTTCCTCACATTGCACCATGCACTAAATTAAACTGACAATGATTAAAACTTGAATAAAGCTTTAATGAAATATAGGTGAATATCTAAATGGTTTTATGATGGAGAAGAAAAAAACATTAAAAAATGGAAGCAACTGTGAATGAAACAATCAATATATTTGACCACATAAAAATATTTAAATAATCAAAATAATTATAAACAAATTAAAAGACAAAGAACAAATTGCAAAAATTATTTCCAAAAACATGATGGACAACTGGTTGACCTCCTTAAAATATAAAGAATTTACTAAATTAGTAAGAAAAACACTAAAACCTCAATGAAAATAAAAGGATAAAAGGTACAACTAGACAATTCACTGAAAATGAGATACAAGTGGATAAAATACATAAGGAAATTGTCCAACTTGAATAACCTACAAAATTATACAACAAAACAATATACCTTTTGCTCATGAAATCAGCAAAGAGAATCACAGTTTGAGTACAATACTATAGAAATGTTCATATGGAGGCTGGGTGGCAATGTCAACCGGGAAAACATTTTTTGAAAAGAATCTGTTAATATTCAAGATGAATACTAAAGATGTTCATGTACTTTAACCCAAATTTATTAATTTTTATTATTTTTAGAGACAGGGTCTCACTCTGTCACCCAAGCTGGAGTACGGCAACACGATCACAGCTCACTGCAGCCTCTAACTCTTGGGGTCCAACAATCCTGCCTGAACCTCCGGAGTAGCTGAGACTACAGGTACATGTCACCATGCCCAGCTAATTTGTTTTTAAGATTCAAGGGGTGCATGTGGAGGTCTGCTACATGGGTACATTGCATGATGCTGGTTTGGGCTTCTATTGATCCCGTGACCCAAACAGTGAACATAGTACTTAATAGGTAGTTTTTCAATCCTTACTTATCTCCCTCCCTAACTCTCCCCTTGGGGAATCCCAGTGTCTACTGTTCCATCTTTCTGTCCGTGTGTACCCAACGTTCAGCTGCCATTCACATGTAAGAACATGCAGTATTTGGTTTTCTGTTTCTGTTAATTCACTTAGGATGATGACCTTCAGCTGCATCCACGTTGCTGCTAAGGACATAATTGTGCTCTTTTTTAAGGCTGTGTAGTATTTCTCGGTATATATATGTACCAAATTTTCTTTATCCAATCCACGGTTGACGGGCACCTAGGTTGATTCCATGTCTTTGCTGTTATGAATAGTGCTGTGATAAAATACACATGAGCGTAGGTATATTTTTGGTAGAACAATTTATTTTCCTTGGGTATACACCCAGTAATGAGATTGCTGGGTCAAATGGTAATTCTATTTTTTGTTCTTTTAGAATTCTCTAAACTGCTTTCCACAGGGGCTAAACTAATTTACAATCCTGCCAACAGTGTATAAGCATTCCCTTTTCTCCAAAACTTTGCCAACATATTATTTTTGCTTTTCTTTTAAAGACAGATTTTCACTCTTGTCATCCAGGCTGGAGTGCAATGGTGCAATCTTGGCTCACTCCAATCTCTGCCTCCCAAGTTCAAGCAATTCTCCTGCCTCAGCCTCCCCGGTAGCTGGGATTACAGGCATGTGGCACTATGCCCGGATAGTTTTTTTTGTATTTTTAATAGAGACGAGTTTCACCATCCTGGTCAGTCTCATCTTGAACTCCTGACCTCAGGTGATCCACCCACCTTGGCCTCTCAAAGTGCCGAGGTTACAGGCATGAGCCACCATTCCCAGCCAGTTTTTGACTTTTTACTAATAATTCTGACTGGTAAGAGATGGTATCTCATGATGGTTTGATTTGCATTTCTCTGACGATTAGTGATGTTAGGCAATGTTTCATGTTGGCCACTTGCATGTTTTGTTTTGAGAAGAGTCTATTCGTGGACTTGGCCCACTTTTAAAGGAGTTATTTGTTTTATTTTCTTGTTGATTTATTTAGATTCCTTATGGATTGTGGCTATTAGTCCTTTGTTGGATACATAGTTTGCAACATTGTTTACTCTGTTAATAGTTTCTTCTGCTGTTCAGAAAGTCTTTAGTTTAATGAGGTCCTGATTGTCAATTTTTGTATTTGTTGCATTTGCTTTCATCATAAATTCTTTGTCTAGGTCAATGTCCAGAAAAGTATTTCCTAGGTTTTCTTCTAGGATTTTTAGAGTTTGAGATCTTAATCCATCTAAGTCTTTAATCCATCCTGAGTTAATTTTTATATATAGCAAGACACAGGGGTCCAGTTCCATTTTCTGCATATGGTTAGCCAGTTTTGTTTTTTCTTTTTTTTGTAGAGACAGGGCCTTGCTATGTTGCCCAGACTGGTCTCAAACTCCTGGCCTCATACAATCCTCTTGCCTCAGCCTCTCAAAGTGTTGAGATTATAGTAATGAGACACCATGTCTAGCCTAACCCAAATTTCTTTTTTTTTTTTTTTTATGGAGTTTCACTCTTGTTACCCAGGCTGGAGTGCAATGGCACAATCTCGGCTCACCGCAACCTCCACCTCCCGGGTTCAGGCAATTCTCCTGCCCCAGCCTCCTGAGT